CTTAATTCTGTCTTATTAACAAGCATTGCCGCTACATCTCCAAGGCCTCCCACAGGGAGCAGAGGGCCTTGATGGACTTTGGGTGCGGGGCGAGCTCCTCCCGCGCAGGCTGCGCTCCTGCTGCCCTCCAGCGGACCACTGGCCCCACGTCAGGATCAGCTGCCTGTTGCTGCACCAGGTCTGACAGGCCCACCCCCAGCGGCCCCTCCAAGGTGCGGACAGCCCCCTCACGCTGCTCCCACCAGGCGCAGTAGCAACAGTCCGCGGCCTCACAGGGGCGCCACGAGAGAGCGGCGGCATTGAGGTGGCGAGATCCCGCAAGGTGTACGACAGTGAAGTTGTACTCCTGCAGGACCTCTATCCATCGCGCCATATGCCCCTCTGACTCCTTAAAGAGGAGCAGCCAGGTGAGGGACGCATGGTCGGTCCTCAACCGGAACCGGGTCCCGAACAGGTACGGCCTGAAGTGGCGGACCACCGCCATCACTGCCAGCAGTTTGCGACGGGTCGCTCTGTAGTTCTATTCAGCCTTATTCAAAGCCTGACTGTAGTAGACAACCACCCGCTCCCTATCCGGCCCCTCCTACGCCGCAGCAGAAGTCAAGGGAGCTGAACCAGGTCGACCCGGTGTAGTCCAAGGTGTCGTCTATCCTCGGCAGGGGGTAGGAATCTTCCCGACCTCATTTAGCTTGCGGTAGATTACGCAGAACCTCCACGAGCCGTCTTTTTTTCGGACCAGTACAGCTGGCACTGACCACGGGCTGGCGGAGGGCTCAATCACCACTGCTGTAGCCATCTCCCGGATCTTTTCCTTGGCGGCAGTCCGCTTGGCGTCCCAGTGGGATGCGGATGGCCGAGCGTCACAGGTGTCGATGTCGTGTTGGACCAGGGCAGTGCGGGTGCAGTCCACGTCCGTTGCTGCAAAGAGGTCCTCGAGTAACGCCTGGAGCCTGCCGCTGATCCTGATCGAGGCCCTCGCAGCTTCGCTGGTAGAGGTCCTCAACTGCACGCCTCGCTTACATGCAACGCTTGGCCCCCACCACCGCAGCCTTGTCTGGCCCCCCGGGTGACTTGGGGGCAGGATCTGGCACGCTCGCTCCCCGGCTCGCAGGCCCTGTCCACCCCGGCCATCTCCCGCTGCGCCTCCCTGGGGAAAGCTGGGTATCCTCAGCGGGCGAGGAACATGACATCAGTGGCGACCGGGCCCAGTCGCTCTCCTGGTTGGCGCCACCGTAGGGCCAGCCTCTCCCGCATCAGGTCTGTCACCTCCTCCACGCCGAAGCGCAGCTGGGGAGCTGCTGTCAGCATCGCGTATTCGCCTCGGTCCTCCTCTGGGACATCCAGGAGCACCTGGCAGGCCGCTTCTTCCAGTGCCGCCGACAGGTGGTCTGCCATCTCTGCCTGGTTCCAGCCATTCGTTAGGGCCGCCAGCTGGAACTGCGCATCTTATGTTTCCCAAGGCGCTTCCCTGTTGTAGCAACTGCGGCGCACCCGCGCTGGCAGGTGTGGGAATAGCTGGCTAGCTCCGGGGGGGAGAGCATCTCCTCTCTGGGGCATCCGCTGAGCGGGAGTAGCGGGCAATCGCCCCATTTCTACTGGAGGGACCACTACCGGGTAGCCCTGGTAAGGGCTGTGGCCACCTGTCGCACCCAGGAGTTGCTCATGCTCCGTGTGTGCGCTGCTGGTGGGTTCAGTCTGTTTTAGGGTCAGCTGGTGCTTGACAGAATCAGCTAGTGTCTGCCACGATTTGTCCATCCTGCCCGCTTCTGACACCAATGTAGCGTTTTCAGGTTCCCTCAGGAATAAGGACAAGTGGAGACGTGATAGTAAACCAAGTGACTGCTTTATTCTCCTATCGAAACCACACAAAAACCAAATACAGGATATACACATACATGAGGAGACTGACGGAACACGTACACATGGATAGGGTGGTAACTGGTTAACTACAGGCTATACACTTATAAAGCTATACAGGACACGAAACTACTATAACACTATTTACATATGCAGGGTCAGCTGCTGGTCATCGTGCTGACCCTCAGACTCCCCCCAGTTACAACTCAGCCTGCTTTGCAGTACCATGAGTGCCTAGGTGCGCTTCCTCCTTACCACTGGGTGAGGGCGTTACAATATAGTCGCAATGCTCTGCTGAGAGAATGAAGATTTCAAAATGGATATGTTCTGACTAAAATTAACATAATTTGTGTTAACATCCCAAAGGCTTTTGTGCTAATTTTCACACTGGCACCTGATTTGTTGAAAGCTGAAGCTCAAATAGATATTCCCCTGGTGGCAAAGTAGTCATGAAAGGCAATATATTGCATATAGTACAGATTAAACACCCTGAACAGAATTTACACTATGTAGTAAAAGTAATATCTTCTGGAGTTTATATGTGGATGACCTCACTTGGGTAGGTAATGAGTCATTCCTTTAATAATGATGGATGAATGAACTCTTAACAGCTCCTTGTCTTTCACTGAACTATGGCACTGTTGCTCTGTCATTAAAACTTCCATATGTGACTTAAATGTTGAGAAATATCACATTTGCATATGCAGAATTACAGGAAAACAGTTTCTGTTACACATACCGCTGTGCTTTATGAAAAGTCACAAGTTGGACATTACGAGGAGTGCAAAAGTATTAAAAACTAGTTTTTAACAGGCATGTCAAAACTTGTAAGGCAAAAGTCCTTTAGGTATTTTAATGATCTTAATCAGTACAAATATACAGATATTTTCCTTTCTTTGCTGATACAAAAAAATGTATATAATGTTAATTCAGAAGCTTCACAGTGCAGTCTATAATTATAGCAACCTTCTGTTGAAAACAATATTGTTTTTGTTGGAGGTAATGAAATTCTAAGGGCAGTCAAGTTTTAAGGTAGAAAACAATTGATTTTAAAAAGTGTAAATAAAAAAAACAAAGCACAACATGTATAATGTATAAAAAACTAAAATGTTGTGTATCAGCATCACCTTTATTCTCCTTCTGACTAACTTCATAGAATTACCACTCTAATTTTTCTTGCTGAAGTGTACTGGGATGGCAGAATCCATATACATGACATTGGAACTGATTACAAACATAAAAGCACACACCTACACAAACACCTACGCATGCTCACAGTAACATTGAAAGAAGTGAAAGGATTAAAACCAGTTCAAATTGGTTGGGAATATATTCTTATGTTTGCTTAATTTGCAAGTATTATTTGTCTCTGTTAAATGTTCTCCATACCCTCAACAGTTTAGGTCATGTGCACAAATTTAATTAAACAATGTAAAAAATTAAGCAAACAGTGTCCTTCATGGTTACAAACAAAATATTTCTGAATTATATTATTTTGGTTTTCTTGCAGGAGGTACTGCATCAAGACAAAAAGGCTTCCTTGGATGTATCCGTTCTTTCCAATTAAATGGGGTAACACTTGATCTTGAAGAAAGAGCCAAAATCACCCCTGGAGTGCAACCAGGCTGCCCAGGGCATTGCAGCAGTTATGGTAGCCTTTGCCAGAATGAGGGGAAATGTATTGAAAAGCCTAATGGTTTTTCATGTGATTGCAGTGCATCTGCATATACGGGACCTTTCTGCAAGAAAGGTAACATAGTTGATGTTAACATTTATTGATTGATTATTGTCAACTCAAACATTTTACTGATTGCAGAGGTCAAAATTACACTGAAGACTTGATAAAATACAAAGATGGCCTTGCAGTTACTTTGTTCATAATTTACTGATACTATACGTTAATTGTATTAATAATATGCATGATTCATAGCAAGAAATTCAAATAATGAAAAAAAGTAAAGATATAGATGGAGCCATTCAAAATGTGCAGTAAAACCCCAGGAACTGATCTACCACAGTAAGTGATTTGCTGGCCAAAATGTTTGACAAGTGGCACTTGTGGTGCATTAGTTGTTAGTGAAATGATTGCTTCTTTTAATCTCTCTACTGTGTATGTTTAAATCCGCTTAATATGGAATATAAATATGGAATTTTACAACTAAAGAGGAATTTTGGTAGCTGAGCATAAACATAACAGGAGCTTAATGTCTCAGAATAACGATATTAATTTAGGAATATAAACATATTATGTAAACTGTATTAGTGGTAGTTTAAATAAAAAATACACAACAATATTCCACTTTCTTCAAAAACATTTTATGTATCAAAGTCTTTCACTCGGTCACTTGCTGTGGTTATTTTGGAAAAGTTTTGAAAATTATATCAACAACCGAAAGAGGCAAACATGTATACTGTCAACAGTGGGGGTAAAAAACAGTTTAATTCAAGTCAAAACACTTTATTCAGTGGGGCATTTTAACACAAGCCTTTACAACAAGTCTTAAAACAAAATTGTATCTATTATAATTATAATCAAGAATAGCAAAATGGTATTAATAATAAATAATAATGCCAACAATAACATGTCCCTGCCTAAATTAAACATTGCATGACTTTAAATGCCATAAAAAAAACAGGTTTAGATAGTTAAAAACACTTTTTGTGGACTAAAAAAGGGTGATCTTTCTTCCTTGTGATAATCTTATAATGTTTGTGTAAGCTGTAATTTTTTTGTTTACTTTTTAATTAAAAGTTTAAAACGTTTTAATTTTTTAACACAACACACATTTCATACACAAAAAATCACATTATCCTCTCTCCCTGAACCAGATCAGCAGGTCTTTTAGTAATAAGATGAATGAATGAACCTCCAGACCGTCTCCAGGATGCTCAGAAAGGAGGGATTGTTTCATTCCTGCCAGCTAGGCATTATTACCTCACAGTAGGGGGAAGGGAAGTGGGCTGTAATTTCACTCCCCATCAATACACATTTCAAAAAGTCACTGATACAGTTTTAGCCAAGTAATTCCTCGTTTAAATTTCTGGTTTTAAGAGAAGACTGTGATTTGTCATGTATCATTCATTTGTTTTCATTTTCCCTTGCAATGGGTAATTGTGGTGTAAGTTTAGAGGATTTTACTCTGCTCCTGATTTTGGAGCAGTCTGAGAAATGTCACAAGGAAGATGTTTATCGATAGCAGGCTTTAGTCTCTCAGTTTACTGGGGACATAGCAGATGTTAAACTGAGGAAGAGACACCCCTACGCCCCAGACAGACAAAGAAGATACAGGGTGCAGTGTCCATTCAAAAGGGTGCAGTGTGTTAACACAAACTCTAACAAAGCCACTTGTGAGAGCAAGGTGTCATTCTGCTCCCTTATATGATAGCTACAGTACAGTCAGATTTTAAATTATTTAAACAACATTAGCTGTTTGTCAAATTCACCTACTTTGTGCAGTACACAACTTCTGAAAAGGTACTTTTTTCTGTCGTGCAAACTCATCAAAGGTTTCTTTTTTATATTCTGAAACTTCGACGATATCCAAATACCCCTCCCGGGTCATGAAGTCAGACCCACAGATATACCGAAACAGTAGTGCACACAGCAATGAATGGCAGTGTGATCATATACTGTATAAATATACAGTATATACATTATGATACCGTAGGGTTTCAAAGCCACGACAGTGCAGTATGTGTGAAATATTTTATTAATCCAAAATTATAGTTACATTTCTCATTGCTGAAGTTTTATTAAGACAAAATGTAGATTTTGGCAAATATAGACTTGGCAATTATAAAAATAACCTTTATTCCCTCTTTCGTTTAACTTAAAGAATTCTGTGAAAAAATCTTTAATCATGAAACCATCACATATAATAATTCATCCAGATACACACACTCACACCGGAGCCAAGTTCTCCAGAAACAACCTCCCAGAGTAAGTCTTTGGACTCTGCAGTACTGTACAGTACAATATACGGTTTAAAGTTTTAAACTTAAAGTTAAATTGTTGGCTGATTACTGGCTGCTGAAATTTGGATTAACACAAAATATAGATTTTCTCAATTCAGATGTAAACCTGAAAGAGATGAATCGTGTTCACAAACAAGCTATAATAGTGGACTATTTTTATATATTCGGCTATGTAATAAACAAACAAAATTAATGCTCTGATCGAGCTTTGAACCGCCTGGGTGCAGCATGCTACATTACAGTCCATTGCACATTACCACTATAAGGACAATAAAAGGTTTGTTCTTTTTTAAAGAATGTCAAAAAGTTTCCAAAATGTCCACTTGTGATATTTTAGCTGCATAGTTACACGATTCCATATTAATATAACTATCAAGTTGTATTAAATCAGTACAACTTTTTTTACAATAACAGCAAGTGGTGTTCTTACTACGTATTCTTAGAAAAGGATTAAACATTACAACTTTTTATGAAGTACAGTATATAAACTTTATAATGTAAGAGCAAGCATGTTAAAACCATAACCCACTGTAAGTCACCAAGTTAAGGACTTTGATGCATAAAATACAGTATTTATGAAGAAGGTGAAATACTGCTGTGTACTTTTGTCCAACTGAGCAATCTTGCTTTTATAAAATATACCTACATTTTAATTAGTTTAATGTTTAACATGCTGTAATACACAGATTACAATTATTAATTGTCTAAACAACTTAAATTCTGTAATTGAAAAAATAAATTTCCCTCAGCATTGACCGGGATTTGAAACTGGGCATTTTTTGGTGACAGCAGAATGATTCACATAATCACATTAAAGTTTCACTGCTCCACCTGGCAGTTTTACAAAGTAGTGCAGCCCTATTTAAAAAAACCTGTGGTACCCTGGTGCCCATGCAATGCAAATAACTGCAGTATCCCCTGTGCATTTTGAATGGTTGAATCTGTAGATCTCAAAACAATGCTTTACTATTTCCTTTTAGGCTCTAAATACCAATGTTTTTCTGCTAAACAATGCATTGTTTTTTTTCCTTATTTTAGAAGTTGCTGCTTATTTCAAAAGTGGAACATCTGTGATGTATACTTTTAAGGACCATTATGAACTAAACAAAAACTCAAGTGCTCAGTCATCATCAATTTACTCAGATTTAACACTCAGGGGTGAAAGCATCACTTTCAGCTTCCGCACGACACAGACTCCGGCCTTGATATTTTATGTGAACTCTTACTATAAAGAATATTTGGCAGTGCTTCTAAACAGAAATGGTGAGTTTATTATATTTTAGTTTACAATATTTACCAAATGCATTACACTAAAGTATGCCATTACAGTACCAAAAGAAAGCACGCCATAAGCCAAGACCAGCTATTTTTCTGTTGTTCTGTTGCAGCCTAAATCTAAGCCCAGATAAAATTCAAAGCTTCACTACGAGTGTAAAATGTATTATTTGATTGATTAGCCCACAGTCATGGCTGTGCAGTAGTTAGGATTGTTTCCTCGTAGCACTGGTGCTAACTCCGTGGGTTTTGTATGTTCCCATGTTTGTGTGGGCTTTCTCCAGGTGCTTGGGTCCAAAATCATACTGGTAGGTTAATTGAAATATGGGGAAAATGGTTCTAAATGTGAGTGTGTTTGTGCATGCCTGTGTTTGTGCATGTGTGTCTGCTCTGCAGTGTTCTGGTGTCCCATCCAGGTACCCTGCCTTGTACACATTGCTGGGATAGACATCATTTCCCTCATGACCCTGAATTGGAAGAGGGAGTTAGAAAATGGATGAATGATTAGCCAACTTTGCATATTAAACAAATGGTACAGTGATTTCTTGTTAATACCCGGGCATATCTTAATGTAGTGCTAAAACAAAAGCAGAGCAGACAGATCTCTTTTTAAAAAACAGCAATTGAAATTAAAACTATTTGTGCACCAAATAAAGTATCTTTAATAATGGTATGAAACATTATTCACAAGTGCTTTAATGTAGCAAAAATATGAATATAATTAAGACTTGCCAATATTCTTGGATGCTGCATGTCACTTTTTTTCATTCTGACAGAAACAACAGATACCACAGGATACATGAAAGTCTCTTTCTTCCAAATTTAAATTTCTAAAAATCAGAAATCACTCACTGCATTATACACTCTTGTAAGTGATTTTTTAGAGTTAATAGGTATGTTTTTAAACACATTTTTGTTGCACTTAGTACTATTTTTATTTAGTTTTAAAGAAAAAAACATGGGGTGGTTCCTGAGGGATACGCAATTTAGTTTAACTTGTTATATAGTTTACCCAGTTATTTAAACCTGTATAACCTTTCATAATGATTTGTGTCTTTTCTTTATAAAGTTCTCTTTTCGGTTTACTATTCAGTACATAAGAACTTAAGAATGTTTATGAAAATATTAGCCAATTTAACATCTTCTGTTTTCATTCCAAAACCATAGCCATAGCTGATTCCATAGCCAATGCTTCTTCGTCAACAATATGGCTGGGTAGCTTGCTGCATTTTCCCACCTACCTTTGGGCAGAAAGTGCCTCCTGTTTTCAGTTTTAAATGTATTTTAAATGTATTTCCCTACACTTCTGACTTATGTCCTGCAATTTGTTTCAGTGTTGATTCACATGAATTCTGTTGAGGTGACTTTGTGTATGCCTTTGAATATTTTTTATACATGAAGACCAAAGACCAAAAAGGTTCAAGACCAAAAATATTTAGCATGTCAGTGTAGGAATGCCTTTGATCTTGGGAATGTATTAAGTCATAATTGTCTGGACTTCCAGAGCAGCAATATCCTTTGTTTATTTTGTTTGCACCAAATTATACACAATATTCTCAATGAGGTCTTAGTAAAGTATTGTGCAAAATTACATAATATCCTTGATTTACATTGTGCACTTTGAACTTTTTAGTCCAACATTCTGTTTGACTTTATATTGCTTCCCCATAAATAAATATCATTACTATCTCATACATATTTACATAAATATCAAATTCCTTCTTGTAAGCCTCTTAAAACTTGAAACTTCCCATTTTATATTTATAGTTTATGTTTTTGTTACCACCTTGTATAAATTACTAGTTCTAATATTTATTTCAATAATCTTGCATGTAATAAAATATTTACTTGTATGTAATATTGACTTGATATATTACAATAGTTTTATTTTAATTTTTTTCTTTTGTTAATTTCTTGTCACCCTTTGTAAAGATGGTTACTGCATTAACAATTTACCAGTCAGCTGGAATTATCTCTGTTTTGAGAGAATACTGGAAGATTATTCTTAATGTCCAAAAAATAACATCTCTTTCTCCCTTAAACACATTGGTAAAACACCAACAGGCTCTAGAGATTTCTATAGCTTATGTTCTAGTGTCTCTACCTGTATGTGTCATTCCTATGCTCTTATTATGTAATCTAAAACGTTGTGCATGCTTGTTCTCTGTTCATTCCCTGATGCATACCTGAGGGAAATATTAGCTTCTAAAACATTTCCATTATTATTTTGAGACATTATACTTCATCATTTAGTTTTCATCTGGTACTGTAAATTCCCATTTAACCTCCACTGAATTATTAATTTTTAAAGTAATGATAAGTAAATATCATACATTTTAATTTGTGTTTGTATTATCATTATACTTCATTTCTTTAAGTTTAACTTTCCATAAAGCATTTCTTCTTGTATTTCCTTTTTTATTTTTATACATTTGGGCCACTGCCTTTCAGACTTCGATTTGATTAATGGAGTGAATCCATGTATGCCATTGCAAATCTGACCGATATGGATTCTACAATCATTGATTCATATCGACTAAGTTCCCGTGTAAGATCATCTTTTTTTTTTCAATGTTGGTCTTTGGAATACAGTGAATTACCTAAAGTTGTTTGTGACAAAACATTCTATTAGCCACTATATTTTAAATGATTCCAATCACATCATAATTGCCTACTAGTGCAGAAATCTGGTAGTCGGGGAACGACATTAAATTAAAATGACTGAAAATTAAAGATGAAAATTTTAATAAAGTTGGTTTTGAACTTCATATTATATGCATTTCTAAACATCAATCTCAGAAGATTTTTATAAAGATTTTCAGAACTCATTGTTCTTTGTTCATAATCTTTGTCGTCATTAAGGCTGTAGATTTATCTTAAAGATTATGAACAAATTTTAAATGCTTGGGACTTTAAGGAATGAATGTTGTTTGACACCTAAAGCACACGAATATTTAAATTGTTTAGGCAGTACTGATATTGAATGGTACAAACCACTTTAACATTGTAAGAAACAGAAGCATATTTTAAGTAGAAAGAGTGAAGAATAAAGGCCAACGTGCCTGTCAGAAGCTCATTGTATGTATCAACTCATGGCTTTCCAATTAGGAACCTTGTCCAGCAGCTTCAGAAAACCCTTATGACAGATCAAAGAACTTTTCATCATTTGTGACAGCTGCCAAGTTTCTCTTCATATTAAATGTGAACAGTTTTAATTGACTCCCAGCCCTAAGCTTGTTTCAAAAGAGGGTAAAAATGACATGTAGTCAAATGAGACTGGCAGTTTAATGAATATACAGAAGACACACTTTTATAAGATGTTCTGCCTGCACAATCTAGTCAAACAAAATGAGTTTTTTTGATTAGCACAAAAAATAATAAATTGAAAACTATTGATATCCGTAAAATATAAAAGCCACAATCATTTTTACAAGATTTTCATTTTTTCTTTTTTTCTCCATAGATTGAATGAAAAAAATTTTCAGTAATTTTTTTTATTGTGTCTGCTGCGAAAGGATATAAACAATTAACATTAACTGTACCTTTGAATGACAAGATTAAAGTTGATCAGTTTCCATTAAAATAGATATGATGCAAATCATGGGTTTTCACGTATTCTGTGCCTATGCTTATTTCAAGAAAGGAACAAGTAATAGGTTTATTCCATACTGAAAAGAGAAGACAAAACACAATGTTTCAGCCATGGAGCCTTCTTTAGGTGTAATTCAGGTGTAAAGGGAGTCCTTTCCAATAATTCAGGTCTACCCACCTGAATTATTTCAAGAATAATTAACATACAATATTTTTAGATAGAATCATCACAAAAACATATAGTGCATACTGCATATTCAGCAGTATATTAAAAATATTTTAAAATGAATGAAAGGGACAGCAAGTTAAACATGAACGAGTCACTCATTTGACTTGATGGGAGAGGCCAAAGTCCCAAAAAATCATTGTAAGACAGAAATGGCTAATAACAGCAATTATCATTGTAGTAAACGTAGCAAACAGAAGTACATAATCAGTCACCTAATCACATGGTTTCACCTCTTTTAAAGGTGGTGGCACAAGCTTCGCCATATGGCGCAATAATAATGTTACAGTTTCCATAACAACTAAAAAAATAAATGGAACTAAAGGTTTGCATCTTAGATCTAACCCTATCTTATATAGGAAGTAAACTTTTTGACATTTTTAACTGTTTAACATTCCTACCTGTTTGCAAGGGGTACATTATAATGTAATTTAAGGGAGTCCTGCATTTACACTGTTGTACTGACCTTTTGAAGCGATGTAGTAGTCAAATGTTTACATTGCTGTCATATCTTCAAGGCTGTAGCTGCATATATATTTTTGTAGTAGAAGGGCACATGTCCTTCCTTCAATATACAGTATGCTTCCTCTGTGTTTAATAACTTCCTAGACATTACAATGTGTGGAGTATAGGGAAATGCTCAAAGACCTCAACCATTCACACAGCTGGAACATTTGATTAATTTTATTTAAGTTTGGTGCAGTGACTAACATTCCTACCTAGCAGCAATGAAGCTCAAGATTTATTTCCTGGGGTGCAGTCTGTGTGGAGCTTGTATATTATAATAATAATTAATAATTCTTTACACTTATATAGCACTTTTCTGGACACTCCACTCAAAGCGCTTTACCAGTAATGGGAACTACAGTATCCTCCATCACCACCAATATGCAGCACACACCTGATTGATGCTATGGCAGCCATGGTGCACCAGTACATTCACCACACACTATCTATAAGTGAGGAGGAGAACAGGTTAATTAAACCAATTCATAGATATTGATTATTAGGAGATAAATGGAAAATGTATTTAATTACTCATAATAATAATTAGGAGATTGGAAATGTATCCAGGACACCGGGATAACACCCTTTTTCAAGAAACATCCTCGGATTTTTAATGACCATAGAGAGTCAAGACCACAATTTTACGTTTCATCTGAAGAACAGTGCCTTTTTTACAGTATAGCGTCCTCATCACTATACTGGGGCATTAGAATCCACACAGACCACAGGTTGAGCATCCCCTATTGGCCCCTCTAATATGTCTTCCAGCAGCAACCTTAGCTTTCCCAGGAGGTTTCCTATCCAGGCTCACACCTGCTTAGCTTCAGTGGGTTGCCGGTTGTGAGTTGCAGGGTGATATGGCTGCTGGCTCAATATGTTCTCCAAGTCTTCACATGGATTTCCTCTAGGTGTTCCAGTTTTCTTCCAAGGTCCAAAGACATACTGGTGGGTTAAATGGCATCTGTGAAAATTGGCCCTGGTGTGAGTGTGTGTGTGTTTGGGTCAGTGTCTTTCCTAGGATTAATTAGTGTATCTTGCCTTGCGCCTTTTGCCTGCCAGGATAGACTCATGCTCCCCTGTGGCCCTGTGTTGGATAACACAGTTAGAAAATGGATGTATATGTAATACTTTTACTGTAAGTATACTGGAAACAGAATTATCTACTACTACTATCTACTAGAAACTTTTATGTTAGAATGATGTCAAAAAAGGTATTGAAGAAGAACATTTTCTGTGTATACTGTGAATTCATTCACATTTTTAACTGTACCAGAGAATTTTGGGTGACCAACATGAACTTTAATAGTTTGCGGAGTTTACTAATAGTTTACTATTTATTTATTTACTCTATTTACCATAACGTTTTATATAATATTTTAAAATATAAATTCCTGACCTTCCAAAAACTATTAAATAAACATTTAAATGTACCACTTAAGAGTAAATGTGTTGAAAATATTAATCTATTCCATTATGTCATTACAAAGAATAATAAAAAATATATTTCCACATTATAATATTATAATAATAATAATAATAATAATAATAATAATAATAATAATAATATAATAATAAAATTTCTATGGTATCATGGTATCATGACCAAAACATGTGTTCCCATCTTCACACAAAGACTGTACAGTGCACACAATTGTGATCCAGATTCATGATGAGTATCTGGACCTCTAGGTTTCATTCAACCTCTGACTTTAAATATCTCAAATTAAATATTTCAATAAGTCTCAATATACACTGCAGATTGTGACATACAACATTTCTAGCTTCAAACCAGAGAGGATGTTTGTTGAGATGGGGGGTCCCTTGATCAGAAACCATTATATAGTTTACCTTGGCATACCTATGTTGTGGGTTAATGATTGTTAATGAGCAGTACATACTGTAAACAGTATATAAGATCACTTTAAGAGCACAGTGGAGAACGATGAAGGAGAAGCAGGGTAGAAGAGAGGCAAGAAAGGAGTCAGGAGGAACTGGAACTTGAAGCTTGAGCCAGCCGAGAGACATTGATCATGATCCATGATGATCATCCAAACAAAACGACTCAAGCTAAGTATTTAAGTCTTGCTAAAAAGAAAGCTTGCTATTCTGTGTTTTTTGGAAATTTGGGTTTCCTCAGTAAAATATACCTCGGTTAGAAACGTATTTTCTGCTTAGGGTGCATTTCTAGAACAGGGAGATAGGCTCCCATTTATTTGGTGCAGAGAGAGAGATTTAACTACATGTTGCATTGTATTCATTTAGAAAGGCAACTTATCTTTTATTTGGCCTCTGTAGGCATTAAGAGTTTCGTATTAAGTAGAAATCTGGGTGTTTTCCTGGGTGATAATGTTAGGCCCCTGAAACAGCTTGTTTGTGAATACTGTTGTAGGCATCCTCTCACGAGGCACCAATGCAGAAGGTTGAATACTCATCCGAACTGTGAGGATTCAGATCTCCTGCGGATGCAAAGAAACAGTTGCAAGCTTGTTGCTGTGTTCAATCGGCGCTCTCTGGCCCAGTGCCAAGCATTGGCTGGTGTGGCTGGAGATGTGGGAGAAGGAGGGAGAGATTCCTCCTGCGATGCGCTGCTGATGCGATGCGATGCTCTCTGAAGACCGCCTAGATGGTGCTGGCTTTACTAGTAGAGTTTGTGCACAGGAGAAAAGTGACTGTGGGTCCAAGCAGGTCACACTCTTTAGACAGGAAGAAGACCAGTTGTAGCACTAGTTCTGAATATTGACATTCAGCTGTCCATAGTTCCGACCGTAGTTCACTTGTTGATCAGGTGAGCATTCGTGGTGGGTTCACGGGGCTTGCTGCTGCCTAACCTCGGGCAGATCCTTTGGTTATGCGTGGCAACCTCCAGTCTCGACTCTTAGAACAAAGTAAAGTCCTAGCACTCGGACACACTGGCCGTTACATGGTTGTCCGAGCTGAGTCTGAGGATGTCCAGGAGGAGCTAAGTCTGAGAATGTCCAGGAGGCGCACTTTCTGGGCTCTGTGCTGCCTGTTTTACCTGGAGGACCTACGGTTGTTCATTGGTTGAAAGTTTTGTGGGCATCTGAGATCCACGTGGGGTTAACCTGCCCTACCAGTTCCTGATTGGCTGATGATGAATAACAATTCACTCTGACCTTAGAGTTGTTAACAATGAGACTCTCCCTTGGAATCTCCCAGACAGGGAGGCGCCAGAGATGACCATTCATTAGGGTAGCTGATGTGTCTCAGCTTTGAGAGTTGTTCCTTATCACTCTATCAGCTAGAAAAAACATCTCAATTGTGAACCAAATGGAATGGCCTCTCTGTATCCAGCACCACTGAGATGAGGGAGAGAGAGACTGTCAAGAGAGCAGCAAACTTAATTCCTGTATTTTTAATAAGCCTTGCCGCTACACTGTGCATAGTGTAACTTGTGTGTTGTATATCTTGTGTGCAGTGTAGTTTGTGTCTCGTCATTGTAATAAATATTTGTTTAACCAATTGTGCCTGGATTATTGCTCTTTTCACCAAAGCTGAACCAGAGAACAAAGAATTCACGTGTCTCCACTTATACCCACATCTTGGGGATATTCTGGTGAAATCGCTTACAAGTTATGAATAATTATTTCACTTATTGACTTATCCGCTCCGTCAATTCCTGGTTTTCACCATTTTCACAACCCTTCATTTGTAACATTATCATGTATAAATCTTTTAATCTCAACAAACATTTTTGTTTTCCTTCTTCCAAAAGGCCATTTAAATATAAAATACAAACTGGAAAATAACAAAGATGCAGAAATATTCAGAATAAACTTGCGAAACCTGGCAAATGGACAGCTTCATACAGTAAGCATCAAGAGAGAAGTAAAGGCACTCTCAGTACAGGTAATGAAACACTATATATTTTTAATAGGTTGCTGCTTTTAGAACTGTAGATATTTTATTTAAATGTCTTATTATTAGAAAGTAAAATTGTCAAACATTTCTAAATACCAAGTTAATCAATCACAGTTGAAAGTCTGTGGCACTAATTGGGCTATTACTGTTCATTGCATTTCAAGGTCTGTGAGGGTTGTTCACTAGAATCTGACACTTCAAAGTTGGGATTTCCATAAAATAGCCTCAGTGATTAAGCACACCTTCATAATCAACTGACATTAGATGTGAATACTTTATTAAAATTTGTCTTGTTTCTTTAAGTTTAATTGAAAGACAGCGACTTACTGTAATTCTAAAGCAATGAAGTGTTAAAGGTACTTTGAAAAACAGGTTTAATTAAAATCTTTTCAGTGGAAGAATACATCTTGAATAATTTGAATCATGTATGTGTCAAATTCTCTCTCAAGAGAAAAATACTATATGGTGCATTTGTTCTCTTTCTGCTGTTTGTAGGTTGACCAATATCCAAGAGAAGAATTCAGCCTCTCAGCCGATTCTGAGTTTAATGCCATAAGGTCTATAGTTCTTGGGAAAGTTTATGGTAAGTAAGTCTATAAAATATATATGTGTATATTATTATGAGTTTTGCATCTTGAACCTCCTACAGTGATATAATTATTTACACTTTATAGTGATATATAAATAAGATTTAGTTGGAAAAATTATTTGATGAGATTCTGTGCATTATTGCAAATACTATGCACTACCAATCTTCATCTATAACTTGTAATTCTCAAATTGGTATTAATCTTGTTACTAACAATCTACAACTATTTTAAGGCCTGAAATAATCTCGTAATATTTTGGCCTGTTTACAAAGAGAAATAATTTATTAAACCAGAAAACTACAAATAATGTTAATGTCTTCAGCTTGATCAATGGGAGTGGATTTAATGTAACTAAAGGGAGATGAGAATGACACCTACTGTTCTATGTTTGGATCTCAAATGGGTTTCTATGTGGTTACTTTTGTTTATGCAGGAATAACGTGAAATGTCAAAGGTTTGCTCACTAGAAATATATTAAATGTTTGTATTAAATGTTTAATCATTGTTTAAACCTTTTTTTTAAACAAAACAGCATGTGTTAATGTTAACATAATGTTATGGTCATGCAAAATGAAATTAAGATGAATGTATTTCATCTGAAGCTTATATAAAGTAATTTCCAGCATGTATCTGGTAGTATAGAGTTTTAATCATCGTTCAATGTGACTCCTTTAAAAAGGCCTAGGCTGATTAGCATTTATTTTCAGAATAACTTATCCAACAGCCCACTAAATACACAAATAACAAAATCAGCAAAGTAAAAGTAAAGAGAATCAACACTTTGTTACTGATGGGAGAAATTCAGAAAAATGGTTAATATGAAATTAAATAGATACCAAAACAGTAGATACAAAAAATGTACATTTAGTTCCCTGTTGTTCTTGGATTATCTACCATATAAGTAACAGATGCAGGAGATTAACCATTTCAATGCTGTTAGTTTTTTAATTTGTAAACTACAATGATTTAACTGTTTTTTCCCACACTATTTTTGAGTTGATTTTGAGTTCAATTTTCATCTGTGCCATAGGTTGTATAAAATTATGTTTTTATGTTTAGATTTCAACATGTTTGAAAATAATGGCATTGGTGCTGCTAGTGGTAAAGTTATGGGGAACTCAGCTTTGATTTGTGAGTACTGTATGTGGGAGATACAGAATTGTATGAAAAAGTATTGATGGCAAGGTGGCAGGGAGTGTTGTTCAGTATAGGATGCCATTAAGGAAATGAATGTACAACAGCCTCATAGAGAATATTGTTTTCTGTATACCACACTAGTTGTCAAACTGATAGTAGTGCTAGGTAGGTAATTAAAAATATGTTTTCCCTAGCTTGTGCATTTGTATGAATGGTCACACAACATTAAACCATAGTTTAAAAACTAAAGGCTTTATGAATACTTCTTCTGTTCCAACCAGCAAAATATACATTGATTATTATTTGAAATGTGTAGTGGTTCAAAGAATTACTTAACAACCTTTAAAAATAATATTGGAGTTAAAAATAGAAATTCAATAACTATAAAATGTCAATATGGACAGTTTTATTTTAGGGTGATATGTCCAAAATCAATGACTGTTTTTAACATAACATTCTTACCAATGTATTAATTTGCTGATGGCGTAAAATAGGTAAGCAAAATACTTATGCAATAATTTTAATTATATATCCATTCTGTGATAAAAATATACTGAAAGGTATTAAAAATGCATCAAATGATTTTGTTCAATATTTCTTCAGATATACAGTATATATCTAAAAATAATCAGTAAAACTTTCAGTTCATTCACTTCATTTCAACTAATTAAGACTGAAAAGCTCATCTTGGTCACTTGTGTATTTGAAATGTGTAGCGTGATGCCTCATGTGGCAGCTCATACTTGTGGCACAGGTTCTAAGACACACAGAAGTCTGAAATTAAAGTAATCTTTATTAAAAGAGATTACTCTTTTAAGCTGTTTTTTGTCTGAACAGCCATAGATTGGATTGATAATCCATCCAAGGCTGCCAAATTGGTCAATTTAACAGAGAAACAGCAACATACTGTGTTCTCTTTCTTCTTTTTTTCAGCATGGAATAAACCTATTACTTGTTCCTTTGCAGCCTACGCATGCTGACGCAGCTACCCACCTGAACATACTGTATACGGTGATAGTGATGGTGTAGCAGCAGTGTAGCCTTCCTTCATCCATAGGCTTGTGACAGCTGAGAAGTTTGAATCTTCAGTCCTGAGTCCTGAGGCTTCAGTCCTCAGACTCATGTGTCTTCCTCTATAAGACTACTTCCTCCTGTCTCTGTCTACTGTGTATGTGCTCCCAAGGAGCACACAGCCACTCCAGTAATTGCTGCAGCCAGCAATATGCAGCTGCTAATTCAAGTTCAAGTTCAAGTTTATTGTCATTATAACCATATACCATTGTATAATAACGATGGTATAACAAAATGCTATTCTGCTAGCTCTCAGACAGTAAGTAGTACAAAAAACAACAACAATACAATTGTATAAGAAAAGAAAGACAGAGACAACAGGCAATGTGCAAAACAACAACATCAGATGTGCAAATCATAGATCAACAGAATGAAATACTGTCTCTGAGTCTGGTAGTCTGGGCCTGAATGCTCCGGTACCGTTTTCCAGATGATAGAGGGTCAAACAATCTGTAGCTGGGGTGTGATGGATCTTTGATGATGCTTAGAGCTTTACTCGAGCACTGTCCGTCATAAATGTCCTGGATGGATGGATGGGAGAGGGCAGTTTTCACCACCCACTGTAGGGCTTTGCAGTCAGCAATACTGCAGTTGCCTAACCACACTGTGATGCAACCTGTCAGTGTGCTTTCTGTAGTGCATCTGTAAATGTTAGTTAGGATCTGGGGAGATATCTTAGTCTTCTTCAACCGTCTTAGGAAGTACAGGCGCTGTTGCACTTTCTTAATCAGACAGGTGGCATTAAGAGACCATGTGAGGTCCTCAGTGATATGGACGCCAAAGAATTTGAAGTTACGGACCCTTTCCAGTTCAGTCCCATTGAAGTGGATAGGGGCATGTCCATTTTGCAGTTTTCTGAAATCAACAAACAGCTCCTTGGAGTCCTATTCATCCTTCCCAATAAATGAGGGGGAAAAATTTCCATAAATGGTATGGTACTTCAGGGATGTACGAGCCGTTAAGGGCTGCATAACACCGCTAATAATTCCAGAAAAATCAAAGTAATAATGGGTGCACCAAAAAGCCACAATTTTTTCAAGTAGAAGGAAAGATGCCAATTGGATAATGAGGCCTAAAATCTCAGTGTCCAGAGTTGCCAAATATTTTAGTGTGCACCGGTTGACAATATCACATCAGAAGTCAAGACTGACAGAGGTCAGGGCCCACCATGGTTAACCACCCTTGTGCAAGTTGGTTAAAATAGTTGCATTTTTAGAATTGATATTATCCTATGCATATAGTAAGAAAAGTTTCACACAATGTGCATGTGATGTTCTCGTCACCCTATTCTAAATGGAGTAAATCTACTAAGTGATGAATCAATACTTTCAATGTTTATAGAGACTTGCTAAGAAAACTAAACTATTAATTTAAATTTGAACAGTTTTAAACAGCAGAAGGTAGTGTTAAGGGACATTTATCAACAATAAATGAAAGGAAATAGGTCTTAGTTGTAATAGTATTATACTTAAAAGGTTTGGAGTTAACTAGCCAAAGTGTTATAGTAGGGAAGTTGTAGTTTCTTAGGGCAGTCCAAAGGAGCAGAACCACACCTATGTAATCTGTTGATATGAATATTCAATTAAATAAAATACACTGAAACACAGCATAAAAAATGTTTAGAATGAAAATTGGTGACAGTGCTTAATTGTGATGTCAGGTGTTCAATGATAAGATAAAGCACCAATTTCAGATTTTATTTTCTAACTGCCACTATCTGAGGTGTGAAGGATTATCAAATTTTTTAAGGGAGAGAAGGGCTTTCAGCATCCTCCATTGTGGTGTGTATCCATAGTTTTTATACCTCCCCACCTGATACTTAATATGATTTCTTATTGGATAGATTAGTTTTTCTAATCAAGAGAGATGATGGCTTTCTAGTTCCACCAGGCTCCAGTCTGCCTTTTTTTTATAGTGCATGTGCAAAAGTGAATTAGCAATAGGATGAGAGACACTACACAGTTCTGTGTTTATTTAAGGAATTATAATTCAGACTGAGATTTATGAATGTGCATGTGATTAGGGCACAGAGGACAAAAAAGCACAGTTTTGAATTTATGCTAATAGTAAAATGCTCAATTATTTTATTTTTCTTGATATTCTAAAGAGACGTACTATGTTGCCATTGAGGAACCGACATTTGTGCATTGACAATTGAAATAATCTTTAATTTAAATATGCTTAGTATTAGGCATACTTATCTTTAAAATTGTGTATCCAATTTCATTTGGATTTATTTTCATTGTGCTGTTGTTTTTGGGACAGATTAAACTCGAATGTGTTCTACTTTGAAATATAGTGAAAATTTGTATTTATAGAAAGTTTCTAGGTCGATAAACACAATATGAGAGTACCACAGGATACACAATTATACCGTTCAATTGCATTTTAATAATTTGAAAATGGTTCTAAATGTAATTTATTTTTATCTCTTTATTGCAGTAGATTACAAGCTGGAAGAGAGAGGGGGACAGAAGACAGGGAATCAACTTAGAGTGGGTCCTGAGGGTTACATAGAAAGAATAGGTCATAGACACCATAGGATATAGCACGCCAAGTCTGTAGGGCCCTGTGAAGTCCTGTTAAGCCTACACTCTGAAGCATTGTGATATTCTGTTCTTTCCAGTAAAATGGAAGCAGAGAGTAGTAAAGTAGACACGGGACAGATTTGACTTCTCTCTATTACAGGCAAAATGGTAAAAAAGAGATAGAATAACATTGAGAAAGAAGGGTTTAGATAAAGAAATGAATCAAATGTTTTCAGCTTCCTCCCAGCACAGTAAAT